AGCGTTTCCGCGTGACCCTACCACCAGCTGGTAGGGTGACCCTAGACCTGTCACTTCCCCTCTGGGACCCTGATTTCCTCATGTGCAAAAACAAGGAAGTTCTACTACATGTTTTCCAAGGCTCCTTGCAGCTGTCACAGTCACCAGATGTTAGAGGACCCCTGAGGTAGACCAGCCTTGGGCAACTGGTTCGGTGGCCAGCCACACTCTCCCCTTGCTAGGGCGCACCCCACTGTCAGTACCAGGTCCTCTCGGTAATCCACTTGCTACGATGAAATAAAATTCCCTAAGGCCAAGCACAGTAGCTACCCTAAGACCTCCCAAAGGCCAAACAAGTGTCCCCCAGCCGCTGTGATAGCTGTTGTGAAAGAGGAAGCACACACACTTCAAGTGTCACCCCCAGATCGCTGAGCTAACCAAGGCAGCAAAGTGCTCACATACACCCGAAAGCGCCCCCTGGAGCCCTTAATCTTAGCAACAGGGAATGTTTCCAGCCAAATCAGCTCTCTCCAAAAGGTCTTTCATCCCACAGAAAGCAAAGTAGAAGAGGCCTAAGAAATATGTGCTCTGACCCGACTGGAAACAGTAACGGTAAGCAGAAGGGCATCTGTCAAGGCAACAGCTCAGGCTGACGGGCACGTGCATCTGTGCCACCACAGGGGGAAGAGGGGCAACACTGAGCCCGGTGTCTCCCAAGAACTCAAAAACCTTACACTACGGGAACCAGGAGCAGACGCCAAACACAGGCCAAATTCCTGCTCCGTTCAAATAATGGGTAAACACCTGGCGAGGAACGGGGAGCCGGGTCAGCTAGCGGCTCTCCTGAGAAGTCGCCTAAGGAGTTGATTAGCGCAGTTTCCAAACTGCTAACCTGAAGGAATCCAGGGCCGCAGCCCTTTGAAAGCTGCCTACTACCCTCCAGTACATGACATGCCCTAGCAGATGGGGAACGAATTAATGCCAAAGTAGCCAATTCATTTTAATAAACTAATGAATATGCACAAGCCCCTGGAAGCAGTGGACTTTAGAGCGGATGGTAATTAGGCCCCTGCCCTACTTTCTAAAATTGTATTTCCCTGTTCAGGAGGCTGCTCCAGGCCTTATGAGAATAAAGTCAGTCCAAGGAGTTTAGAAGGTTCTGCTCAGGGCAGTGGCCTCTCTAAAAACAGCCCTGCCCCTCGGCCTTACCTTACCGAGCTAACTGCTGCCACAGCAGCTGTCTGAGCTGGCATGGAGCACCACCAAGCAGCACAGCCTTGCTGGAGGCAACAGGTGCTCAGTCCCGGAATGCAAAGTGTCACCAGCACCCCACCAGCCTCTGAAAGTCAACTTGGTAGGCGCAACAACCTACCGGGAGCAGAGAGCTGCCCTCTCTGCCTCAGGGGAGGGAGAAGGAGCACCCAATTCTCACCATGCTAACCGCCTTCTCCCTTGGGCGCCAGGTCCCCACGCCAGAGCAACCTCAAAGCTGGGAGGAGGTGCTCGGGTTCGAGGACCTGGTATTGCCAGAGCCGTGGGAAAGAATGGACGTGGAGCAAGTGGACTCTGCTAGGTGTGATGTCAGGAGGAAGAGCTGGAAAACAGCTCCTGGCCACCACCAACCTGAACGCATCCCCCTGCTGCAGAGGGGAACTTCCTAAAAGACCGCTGACAGGCGTGTGGGTGTGCGTGCGCGCGCCAGCCATCGTGTGCTTTCCCCTCAGGGTGTCTTAGTCTGTCAGGCTCTCCTCAGAAGACGGCTTGCAAGCCCAGCGGCCTCAGGGAGAACGCCTAGCCCTCCTTCCAAGCGAGGCAAGGTGCAGTGGGCCAACGTGCCTACAACAGGCAGCAACACGGCGCGCACACCAGGCCAAGAGGCCACTACAAGCCAGTGGCCGCAGGAAGATGCGGCCCAGTCCCAGAGCGAGCAAGGGCGCTAGGTCTTTCCGTGTCCCGACAATCCCACTCCTCCCAATCAACAACGCCTTGGGTTTGAGGGAGAAATGAAAATGGAGAGGATAACGTCAAGCCCAGAAGCAGAAGAGCTAAGGGCCCACCTAGCCCACTACGGATCCCTGGAATTCACCTCCTACACTGGAGCCCCCAGATCAAGAAACGAAGCAACCGGAAAAGAAAAATAGAACAGAAGTAAATGGCGAAGGGGGGAGCCAGCAATGCCGCCCCGTCTTCCAGTCCCCAGGGCTCCCCAGCCGGGCACACAATCCCTCCCCGGCCCCTGCCCAGTCGGCATTAGGCTGCTCAACTCTGCCCCTAATCCGTAATCTAGAAGCTGTCATTTCTCCCGAATAAGCATCAAAGATGAAGAAGAGCCGAGCAGGCGCAGGAGGGAGGAAAGGGGTGGGACTCCCTGCGCCAGAGGGACGCATCCGCCCGCCCGCCCGCCCGCCCGCCCGGCGGGTAACGGTGTGGGTCTCAAGTCAACGCCGGCAACGCCCCCGCCCCCTCACCAACCGGACTAGAGAATTTCTGATAATGAAAAGCGCCCCTCAAATACAGGGGAGCGGGAGGGGGGCGAGAGCGGCGGGGGGGGACGGGGAGACGGGGGGGGGCAGGGAAGCCGGGCTGAGCAAAGGGTCGCAGAACAGAGGAGAGAGCAGATCGGTGCAGAGCGAGAGGGAGGAAAGGGAGGAGGGAGAGAAGGCAGGAGGGGAGGGGAAGAGAAAGGACGGGAGGGAGGGGGAGAGGAGGGAGGGGAGGAGGGTGGGGGAAGAGGAGGAGGAGGAGGAGGAGGAGAGGGAGGGAAGGAGAGGGAGAGGGAGGAGATGGAGGGAGGGAAAGATCCCAGGACCCAGCGGGCTTTGCACTCACCCGTGTTGTACACGTGCAGTTCGTCCACTATCCCCTCGTTGCCGCCGCCAAACACCACGATGAGTTCCTTGATGGCCACGGCGCGGTGGCCGTGGCGCGGCCGGGGTACTGGACCCGACCAGCCCACCACTCGCTTCCAGCGAGGCTGCAGGAGCACCGCTGGCGAGTTGGCGGGCGACACGGCCGAAGCCATAGTTGCGGGAAAGGCCGCGGTGGAAAAAAGTCACCAGGCGGGAAAGGAGCCCCCCAACTGCTCTCACACACACCCCCTTCAGTCTAAGGTAGCTCTCACAGAGAAGGGCTCCTCACACAGCGGTGGACGGCTCCATGGAGGCCGCCATCTTAACTACCCTCCTTCCCTTTGGCTCTTCCCCTGCTTCTAGCTCACCCCGTCTCTTCAAGAGCCTCCCGAAACTTTCGAGCGCCTAGCCCCGAGAAGCTGGAGGCCGCCAAGTCCCGCCGCCCTGACTACTCGCCCGGGCGCTCCCGCTTACAAGCTCCGGCGGGAGGCTCTGGGAGCCGCCATCTTGAGCCGCCTCTCTCTCCTCCCTTCCTCAGTCGTAGCCCTCCCCCGCCGGAAATGGCGGAGCCCCGGCCCGGTTCCCACACCCCCCAAGTCCCCTGCACTGGCCGGCTTCCGGGGCGGGTGGAAAGGAGCCACAAGCACCGCGGTTGTCCCAGCCCCGCCGGCGCTCACACCACAATTGTGGGAGCCGCCATCTTGACACCGTCCCGCTTCCCCGCCCAGCGCTTAGTGCAGCCGCCGCTCCCGAAACAGCCTCGACACTCGTAAGGGACAGAGGCGCGCCGGAGGCCGGTGGAACGAACTCGAACTCTCGGGGGCTGCTCGGAGACTCGCGCCGTACAGCTTGTGAGGTCTCGAACCTCTTCCCCGAGCCCGCCTCAGCTGCTCAGACTGCGCCTGCCGCCCTGGGAGCCGCCATCTTGAGACTAACTCCCCCTTCCCCCCTATTCTCTTCCTCCTGGGTCAGTTCTTCCACTGCAAACCAAACGCAAGGCAGCGTCCGATCCTCGCTTCCCTCCTTATGACTCCTTCCCACAGGAGCCGCTTCAAAGAGCCAGAGTTAGGCCCCGAAGTGGCAACTGTACGGCAGGAGGAGCGGTAACGGCAGGGCGCTCATGCCTCCTCCCTGGGAGCCGCCATCTTGTGTGAAGAAGTAACAACTAAACATGGCGGCAGCGACGGTCGGCCGAGGGGGCGGAGTCTGGCTACGTCACTGTTTCTCCCCCCCGCCCCCGCCCTCGCACGGCAGCTTCTGTGAGCCGAGGCTTCTTAAAGAACCCCCGCGCTGCCCCGCGGCGAGGGCCCTGGTCCGCCGCACACTTAGCTTGGGTTCTGGCCGCTCTCGGGTCTGGCGCAGGCGCGCCCAGCCCCGCGGCCCACCCCCCCCATTGCGCCCTCACGCCTCCGCCCTGGGAGCCGCCATCTTGCCACTTTCCCTCGCCCGGCCGTTCCCGGGCGTCAATAGCGACTTTCAGCACAAAACAAAGATGGCGGTTGAGGCATCTGCTGAGTGCCCGGATGCGAAAGCCTCAAACGAGCTCGGCCCCGCCCCCCTGGGAACAGTTCCCCGGGTCGCTGAGGGAACACGCGCGCGAGGGGCTGCCCTTCACTAGCAGTGGGCTCAGGGCACGGACTGCCGGGGGAGGCCGGCGGGAGACATCCGCTGCGCCTCGGGCCCGGGGGCGGGCACCTTCGCAGTCCCCACACCCAGCGGCCGCGGGAGAGGCGGCCCGAGACGCGCCGCGGGGGAGCCGGAGGCGGGGCGGGGGGCGGTGACGCGCCGGCTCCCAGGCTCGCGGGCCACGCCCCCGGGAGCCGGCGGCGCCGTCCGCTGCGCGCCGAGGGGAGCCGGGCCGAGCGCCCGCGCCGCTCCCCGGTCCCCGCGCCGCCGCCTGCAGGGCGGGCAGCCGGGCCGGCGGTGCCCGGGCCGCGCAGGCGGGCGCGGGAGAGCTCCGCGTCGCCTCGCGTCACCTCGCGTCACCTCGCGTCACCCTGCCCCGCCTGCTTCCCAGACCCGCGTCCCGCCCTGCGCGCAGGCGCGGGGCCGCCCTTCGGGTCCGCCCTTTTCCGAGATTTGAATTTTCCCCAGCAGATACAGAGAGGCAAGTACCCGGATGGTGATCCCTGGCCTTTTCGCGCCAATACTGTAAGTTGTCGCAGCCGCCTGGAGAGGTGGGTGCCCGCGCGGATCCCGCGGGCCAGGCCGAGCGGGACGCCTCCGTGCGCTGGCACCCTCGGGCCGCCTGCGGGCGGCCTGCGCCCGGGGCTCGGAGCTTGCAGGCGCAGCCCCGGCTTTCTCCCACTTTTGCTCAGCTTTATTGTAGCTTTTTTTACACCAACTGCTAATGAAAATGTGGCCTTTCCCGCAATTACCACCGTAGGCTTCAAAGTAGAGCGTGTTGGCCTTCTGACTCTGTTACCAGTGCAAGTGACACGTCCTTGACTTGCAGGTGCCCCGAAGATAACCGAAGGGGCAAGATCTGCCCCGAGGGCAGAGCAGCCACTTTGCAAAGGCTGTACTTACTCTTCTTCCGAGATGCGCATATGTTACATACTCACGTTCAAAGACATTTTGGGGGGTTTTTTGTTTCTTTTTTGTTTTTTTTAAAGCATTTTATTTATTTATTCATGAGGGACACACACAGAGAGAGGCAGAGACCCAGGCAGAGTGAGAAGCAGGCTCCCTGCAGGGATGCTGATGTGGGACTCCATCCGGGGTCTCTAGGATCACACCCTGAGCCAAAGGCATTCGCTCAACCACTGAGCCACCCAGGTGTCCCTCAAAGACATTTTTGTATCACCTTTCCCCATACTAAGTTTATGGTGTACTTCTATGTTTCTATGTATTTGGAAGGATTTCTTTGACAAAGGCCAAAGATACCTGGGACTGCCAAAGGACAAGAGCCCTCTCCTATAAATAGCCGTGCCACCAACCGCCCTAAATGACCTTGGGCATCCACCTCACCTCTGTGGCCCCAAGGCCCTCCCCCATAAAATAAGGAAGGCAAGCTGCTGGTTTCCAAGACTCTTACCCGAATTCACCTATTGTCTCCCTAGAGTTCAGGGATCACTGCAGTTGCTCCAGGCTTCTTGGGTATCCAGGTGGCCCAGATTGGCCTCACCCACTGGGGGTGCCACACATTACACCCTTTGGGCTGGCATCCCCTCGTGTGCAGGAAGGGGACACGACTTGCTATTCTCATAAACACTACAGGAAAGAAGCCACTACTGTGATGGGTGACAGTGACTCCTGCTTAAAGGCATATAGCTGCAGGAATCAGGGGACTCTTTTTTTAAGATTTATTTATTTATGATAGACCTAGAGAGAGAGGCAAAAACACAGGAGGAGGGAGAAGCAGGCTCCATGCCAGGAGCTGGACATGGGACTTGATCCCGGGACTCCGGGATCACGCCCTGGGCCAAAGGCAGACGCCAAACCGCTGAGCCACCCACGGATCCCAGGAATCAGGAGACTCTAAGGAACCCCTGAGCCAGGAGATTGTCATGCTTTGCAGGACTTCCCCCAAAACTTCAAGCCAATGCTGTTGAGCCTTTGGCCTTCATGTGCCAGGTGCCGAGGAAATCTGTGAAGAGCTTGTAGTGTCACATAACAAGCATCGTGGCACTTCAGGTAGACGGAGGAGCTAGGTCAGAAAGTACCCAGACTGGTCTTCTTGGTGAACTTGGCGAGTTGGTTTCATAACATGTCACTCTCGGCTTGCACAAGGGCTCAGGTGGACTCTGCCCCGCAGCCAGAGAGAGGACTCACTCTCCACGCCCTTCCTGCCCTCCTTCTCTATCAAGTTGACAGTGTTTGACTTCTGTCCCCGGCTCCCATCCATACTGGCTGGCAGACAGGAGGTCCCAAAGGCCCGGCACTTCATGCCACAGAGCCAGGCCCCAGATACGTGCAGGTAAGGTGTCCCAGCTGGAGCCAGGAGCTCAATGGGGAAGCCAAGTTCAAGGTGTTAGCCGACCCGAGGCAGGAGGGAATGACGACTGCAGAGTCTCATCCTAGCTGATGGACCGCCTGGGCCTAGGGAGCTTTCAGGGCTCCCTGGGGATGGCACTTTGATGTGTGGCCAAGAGATTGGGGCGTGCTCGTGCATGGCGTGGAGAGCCAGCCACTGAACCGTGTTGAGCGGGACCTGGCACGAACCCGTCGGAGGTACTTGAGGACGATGCTGGGGGCTGTTGTGCGCGGACCACGTTGGCAGTGGCCAGCCTGGAAATGGGAACCCCAGGGCACGGGCAGCCCCCTGGACCTGGAAACTCCTTAGAGAGGGGGTTGGGGGAGGTGTGTGACAGTGCCACAAGCTGCGATGGAGGCTTATGGTCAGTGAGATGCAGAGTCGAGGTTAGGGCTTTAGTTCACTGGTGGAAATGCAGGGCCTTGTGGCCCTCCTCCACAGTGGACCCCCAAGGCAGGATGGGTAGGGCCATGGGAGCCGCAGCCGCTCCCTCCCCAGAGAATATAGGGGGATGCCCAGGGCCCACGTGGGAAGTGAAAGGGTAATGTGCCAGTGGAAGCTTCTATTGGATTGGACTGGAGTTGAGCAGGTGTCCGCTGAGCGCCGGGGAAGCAGAGCAGAGTCAAAGCCCGCCCTGCCCTTTCCAGGCCTAAGTGGCAGGAAGGGACATGGGCATTGTAATGCCTCCAAAATACACACTGCTCTGTGGTCTTCACGTCTGAGAACTGACTTAATCCACACGACGACTCCACTGGGAGGCACTGGCGGCATCGCCGTCGTCCGGGTGTGCAAACTGAGGCCCAGACCAGTTGAGGCCCGAGGGCACATGATCGGTAGGTGGCAGGAGCCGGAGTTTGAGCGCCGCAGTCCCTCTCGTCCCCACCTGGCACCACCTTGGCTTCTGAGCCAATTTCAGAGCATTGGGCCTTTTCTCTCTACGACGGTGACACATTTCTCGGCCACTAGGCCAGCTCACACCACAGCTGGTCCCAAAGCAGTTGACAGCGAATGATAAGTGCACACCGCTTTCACACCTTCTGCTTCTGTGGCTGCAGGAAATGGAAGGTTCTGTCGTGGGCCAAGGAAAGAAGGTGATTTGGGACAGTGTGGCACCTCAGGGGAGGGCAGGAGGGCTGGCCGAGGTGGCAGGCCTGGGGACCAGCTGCCTGCGCTGCCTGGCCTCGCACCTGAGAAGCAGAGGGGTGATGCCCGTCCTCTGTCTGCCGCTGAGGCGGGAAAGCCCGTTCTGCAGTGTAACGACAGACCTAGGAAAGGTCTGAGTCTCTAAAAGCAGTGGCTCTAAGGGGACTAGTGCAATGAGCAGGCTGGCAGGGGAGAGCGGCATGAAGCCCCTAGGGGACAGGCGATTCTAGAAGCTTCCAGAAGCCCCAAGTAAGAAGGTGAACGCGCTGTGGGCATCACTTCACTCTTAACGTCTGTTTTCTTCTGATGAAAACTGTTGGCGGCTCCTGAGGCCGAGGGGTGGGAAGATGGGGCCCGTCTTTAGGATGGTTTTTGCTTTCTAACCACACTCTCTTTGTAACCACAGAGGAAAAAGGCAGCGCGCTCTTCCACTCTTGCCAGCCAATCAGCAGGACCACGACGTCTCCCTCGCGGGGTCTGCCGCCCTGGGGCAAGGCCACGGCATCTGCGTCGGAAATCACGGGGACGTCTTCCTGCCGGAGAAGCTGGCTCAGCGCGGAGCGGCGGCGCCTTTCGCAGCAGCGGTTTCTCTCAGCTCTGAACCAGCGGTGGTGGCCGCCTCGAGCCATACCCGGGGTTGCACATGCAGCCCGAGTCCAGGCAGGCCCTCTTGCATGTCGCTGTGGCCAGCTGCCTCTGCACGGCCACCGTCTTCGCCGGGGTGTTCGACGGCATCTTCGTCCAAGTGGGCTACGAGCACTATGCCGAAGCACCGGTGGCCAGCCTCCCCGCCTTCCTGGCCATGCCCTTCAACTCCCTCGTTAACGTGGCCTACGTCCTCCTGGGGATGTACTGGCTACGGAGACGTGCCAGGGCCCCGGGGCGCGCCGTGGAGGTGTGGAGGGCTCGTTACCTGAAGGACGTCTTTGCCAGCATGGCCCTGGTCTACGGCCCGGTTCAGTGGCTGCGGATCGCGACGCAGCTGCACCACGCCGCGGTGCTTGACCAGTGGCTCACCCTGCCCATCTTCGCATGGCCGGTGGCCTGGTGCCTCTCCCTCGACAGGGGTTGGGAGCCCTGGTTGCTCCTTGCCATCGAGTGTCTCTCTCTGGGCAGTTACGGGCTCGTCTTCCTGCACCCCTATGGCTTTGAGGTCGCGCTGGGCGCCCACATCATAGTTGTCGTGGGCCAGGCCCTGCGTACTCACAGGCGCTATGGCAGTGCCTCCTCAGGAACCTCTTTGGCTCTGGGCACGCTCTCCTGCTTGGGCTTCGTGGTCCTCAAGCTGTGTGACCATCAGCTCGCGCGCTGGTACCTCTTCCAGCGGCTCACGGGCCACTTCTGGTCCAAAGTCTGTGACGTGCTCCAGTTCCACTTTGCTTTTTTGTTTCTGACAAATTTAAACACTGGCCAAAGACTTCCTCCTGAGGGGAAGGTGCACTAAAGTGTGGAGAGGAAAACCTAAAGAAGAAAAACAAAAGAAAGAAGAAGGAGAAGGAGGAGAAGGAGGAGGAGGAAGAAGAAGGAGGAGGAGGAGGAAGAAGGAGATGGAGAAGGAGAAGAAGAAGAAAAGGGGCGCCCAGTTATCGGGCTCCGTGCGTGGAGCCTGCTTCTCCCTCTGCCTGTGTCTCGGCCCCTCTCTCTCTGTGTGTCTCTCATGAATAAATAAAATAAAAATTCTTAAAAAAAAAGATATGAGGCTTACATGAAAGACTGTCCCTCCCCTCGAAGTTACGGGCTTCGATATTTAGGGGTGAAATGTTATGCTGTCGGCTACTTACTTTCAAAGAGCTAAAGCAGGTATCTAAGTGCAGAGGATGTGGGGAGCATTGTACTAATCTTGTAACTTTTCTGTAGTTTGACATTTTTTCAAAATAAAATGTTGGGGGCAAATGACCCCCAAGAAATCTATCGCTGTCACAGTTGGAGAGAAATGGTCACCCGCAATAGCTCAAGGCTGTAGGTCACGCATGTGGGCTGCTGACCACTATGCAGGGTAGCTTCTGGCCCGCATGCCAGGCCAGGCAGCGGGGATGCCAGCGGGCGTCCCCAGAGGCAAGTGGGTTCAGGGAGACCGAGTCACATCAGACACATGGTGAGCAGACTGCTGGGGAAAAACAGTGCGACTGCCAAGCCGACAGCAGGTCACACAGAAGAAGCCACACCACGTCCGCTCCTTTGTGGGGCAGGGCACGGTGGGTCTAGATGAAGGAAACACAAACGTCAAAAGTTGAATGCTCAACAGAGGGGCGCCTGGGTGGCTCAGGGGGTTCAGTGTCTACCTTCAGCTCGGGTCATGGTCTCAGGGCCCTGGGATTGAGTCCTGCATCGGGCTCCCTGCTCAGTGGGGAGCCTGCTTCTGCCTCTGCCTGCCGCTCGCCCTCTCTCTCTCTCTTGCTCTCTCTTGCTCTCTCTCTCTCTGTCAAATGGATAAATAAAAATCTTTAAAAGAATTAAAGTTTAGGGGCAGCCCAGGTGGCTCAGCGGTTTGGTGCCGCCTTCAGCCCAGGGCGTGATCCTGGAGACCCGGGATCGAGTCCCACATCGGGCTCCCTGCGTGGGGCCTGCTTCTCCCTCTGCCTGTGTCTCTCAGGAATAAATAAATAAAATCTTAAAAAAATAAAAGAATAAAAATTTAAAGAATGAGTTCTCAACGGAACATCGCCCCCAGAGTCAGGGGGTGGCTGAGATGTTCTTAGCGACAAGGGTCACTGAAGCATCGTGTGTCTGTTTCCATTGGAGAGAGACCAGAGCATGGTCTGAGCAAGCCCTGCCTCCCTGTCACCCCAGGCCCTTAGGGTTTTTTTTTTTTAAGATTTTATTTATTTATTCACAAGAGACACACACACACACACACACAGAGAGAGAGAGAGAGAGAGAGAGAGAGAGAGAGAGAGAGGCAGAGACCCAGGCAGAGGGAGAAGCAGGCTCCATGCAGGGAGCCCGACGTGGGGACTCGATCCCGGGTCTTCAGGATCACGCCCTGGGCCAAAGGCAGGTGCCAAACCGCTGAGCCCCCTGGGGATCCCCAACCCCAGGCCCTTAGGAGCCATGGTGTCCGGATGGCGTCTTGAAACCCCCCGCCGTGCTTGCCATGCAGGTGACAATATTTGAAGCAGCGAGCGCAGGGGTGACGCCGTGGCTGAAGACATGCTGAGGATCTCTGCCCTCTACAGACCCCTGGGGGCCACCCGCCCCGTGTTCCTTCTTCCCGCGTGTTACTACACCCCTTACACGCTCTTTCCATCCCGTCTTCAGAAGGGCATCTGGTTTGGGGGATCCCTGGGTGCCTCAGCGGTTTAGCGCCGCCTTTGGCCCAGGGTGTGATCCTGGAGACCGGGGATCAAGTCCCACGTCGGGCTCCCTGCATGGGGCCTGCTTCTCCCTCTGCTTCTCTCTCTCTCTCTCATGAATAAATAAATAAAATCTTAAAAAAATATATATTCTTTTAAAAAAAGTTTGGAAGACAAAGGCGGAGGTAAGGAGGACGCCGTCTGTGCCCAGTGGCATCTCAGGACGGGCTGCCCACATGCACCTGCTCCATGTCCCCCGAGGCCCCTCCCCCTGGAGCCTGCAGGTCGGCCCGCAGACCGTTGCCATGAGCGTTGAGAAGCTTTTGGGACTGGACGTCCTGCCCCACCTGAGCACCTCTCAAGGGGGGTGGGGAGTGAACCAAGCCTCACCTGAGGAAGCCCGCGGGGGAGGGCCCGTAAGCCTCGCCTCTGCTTGGGCAGCAGCCAAGCAGCGTCTGCCTGGCCCACGAAGCCTGGGCGCATGGCGTGGCCCGGCTCAGGGTGTGGGGCCCGGGGGCGAGGCACGCTAGTGGGTGAGGAGCAGGGCGGCATTTGCTCGGGGAAGCAGCTCTGAAGGCTCCGCATGCTTCAGAAGAGGAAAAGAGGGGATCCCTGGGGGGGCTCAGCGGTTTGGCGCCTGCCTTGGGCCTAGGGCACGATCCCAGAGTTCCGGGATCGAGTCCTGCGTCAGGCTCCCTGCATGGGGCCTGCTTCTCCCTCTGCCTGGGCCTCTGCCTCTCTCTCTCTCTCTCTCTCTCTCTCTCTCTCTCGTGAATGAATAAATAAAACCTTTAGAAAAAAAAAAGAAGAGGAAAAAGGCTATGGGTGTCTGTAGGGAGGCTACCCTGACCTCAGCGAGGCCGGTGGGAGCGAGGGGAAGACTCACCCGCTTGGGAGGCTCAGCTAGGGATGAGGATGGGGGTGCGGGCAGAGGGCCCCGGGGTCTTCCACGGGGTGGGCTCTCCACCTACTAGCTGGTGATTCCCCCCTTGGACTGTCTGTGTCGCAGCCGCTGTCTGCCTCATCGAGGAGTAGGTCCCCTGAGGGCAGCTGGGGTTCCGCACGGCCTTGTTCATTGAGCAATGACTTTTCATTCGACTTCATTTCATTTTTTTACCAATACTGAATAAATAAGCTCGAGAACCTTCTGGTTTTCATTCCACCCCTGTGTCAGGCTGGGTCCCCACAGGAAACAGGTGGCATGCTCAGATTAGGGTGACTCAGGACGGTTTCATGGAGAAGTATGCACGCCACTGTGGGGGTGGGGGAGCGCCGGGGCCCGGGGAGCCCCTGGGCAGGGTGGACGGCACCCGAAGTGTACACTGCTGTGGAAGGCACACGGGGCGGGGGCGAGACCTCCCGAAGGCCAGACCCTCCGTCCTCCCATCTCCCATCCGGGGTTGGCAGATAAAGTGCAGCTCCACGAAGGAAGCGTGTCCCAAATACCACCAGACGGACTTATACTAAGAAACTGTTGCATTAAAAAAAAAAGGAAAGGAAAGGAAAGGAAAGGAAAGGAAAGAAAGAAAAGAAAAGAAAAGAAAAGAAAAGAAAAGAAAAGAAAAGAAAAGAAAAGAAAAGGAAAGGAAAAAGAAACTGTTCCGTTGTTTATCTTAAATTCGGATTTAGGGCAGCCCGGGTGGCTCTGGGCGGCGCAGCGGTTTAGCGCCGCCTTCGGCCCAGGGCGTGATCCTGGGGACCCGGGATCGAGTCCCACATTGGGCTCCCTGCGTGGATGCGTGGGGCCTGCTTCTCCCCCTGCCTGGGTCTCTGCCTCTCTCTCTCTCTGTGTCTCTCTTGGATAAATAAATAAAATCTTTAAAATAAATAAATAAATTCAGATTTAACTGGGTGCACTCAAAAAAGACACTTGTATTTGCTCAATCAGCTAACCCAACCGAACCCGGAGGCCCAGAACCTTCTCTCCCTGCCCCCTGTTTCCTCAAAGTGTGGCCAGCGTGGGCCACGCGGCTTCCTGCATCCCCTCCGGGCCTGACCGCCCCAACCCAGCCCCTGGGCTCGAGGGTGCGAGCAACCAACGTTGGAGGCGCTAGAGGAAGAAGGCTGGTGGCGGTGCCACCCCCGCCCGTCCCCACCCCGTCCCCCACCTCCTCTGGGCCCTGCGGCGCTTTCATGTCCTCCCCGCCCCTTGTACTTGCTTCTCTGTCTTACCACCGCCTGCCCCCGCCCAAGAAGCCCGAGAAGCCCGTGGGCACCAGCGGGGCCCCCTCCCTGCTTTGGGCCCAAGCGGTTCAGAGGTCCCTAAGCTGGGAGGGATCCGCAGAGCCGTCGGCCCAACCCCCCCGCCCCCCCCCCCCCCGTGTTTCAGAGAAACGGAAACTCTAGAAGTTGGACTTGGCCGGCAGTTGCACCAGAAACCCCGCATCCCACCCCTGCCCGGGGTCCTGCCCGCTGCGCCCCCACCTGTCCCTGGCGCCGCGGCCTCGCCCTCCCAGCCCACAGCCCGGGCACTTGCCCCCCGGTGAAAGTAGTTGGGGTGCTTTTGCTGACCGTGGAGGTAACACGGGCTCGTTGGGGTGAGGTTGTGTGTTGGGGGGAGACTAGCCCCCTGAGAGGCCTGTCAGGATTCCAGGGGCCCTGCCACGGGGCCGCACCCCTGCACCTGCGTGCTGGATGCAGATGCTGCCCCAGGCCCCTTCGTGCTTGAGTGACGAGGTGTCAGTGGCCAGGGCTGCTCCAGGCGCCTTCCTCCGACGTCGTGCCCCCACGCAGGGCCCTGGCTCCGTCCCCGCTCAGCGCATGTCAGCCATGTGGCTGGAGGCAGCCAGGGCTCAGGCCTCTGTTGGAAGTTTGAGTCTGTTCCTCCTCATTATTGATTTTTTTCTTCTTTTTTTTAAAAAGATTTATTTATTTATTTATTTATTCATTAGAATACACAGAGAGGAGAGAGAGAGAGAGAGAGAGGCAGAGACCCAGGCAGAGGGAGAGGCAGGCTCCACGCAGGGAGCCCAACGCGGGACTCGATCCCGGGACTCCAGGATCAGGCCCTGATCTTTTTTCTTCTTGATTTGTAGGAACTCTGTTTTATTTTATAAACATCAACCGTTCACCTGGCGTGCAGATGATGAATATGTTTTCTTGATCATCTGTCTTTGGACTTTGTGGATATTTCAAAGTCACGGGGTTGGAGGTTCCCATGGCCCTCTACGTGTCCACGGCTGTGTGTCTCTACATAGCTTCTGTTTCTGGTCTCACTTCGGACGCTTTCCCAGGTGCCTACTGTCTACTCATCAGGCAGCGCTGTCAAATCTTAACATCTCCTATAGCTGCTTCCGATCCTTTTCAGTACAAAATCTGCCCTATAAAACCGGGAGAGGCAGGGGCGCCTGGCTGGCTCTGTTGGTGGAGTCTGCGACTCTTGATCTCAGGGTCGTGAAAGTCATCTCCCCAACGTGGGGCGTAGAGAGTACTTTCAAAAATCATTTAAAGCGGTAATCATAAATAAAAAATCCTTAAAACGGGGGCGCCTGGGTGGCTCAGCGCTTTAGCGCCTGCCTTCGGCCTAGGGCATGATCCTGAAGTCCCAGGATCGAGTCCCGCATCAGGCTTCCTGTATGGAGCCTGCTTCTCCCTCTGCCTGTGTCTCTGCCTATCT